GAGAGAGAGAGAGAACCAATTTACGTACCCCTAACTACGATCGCAAATTGCACGGGTGACGGTTTTTTTATTCTTTTTTTACACAATTCATTCATTTTTTTTACACCTAATTCATCCATTTACATTGTAAATAAATTTTCATGCCTATAACATATAGATGCTAGTATATATAATTCTTTAAAATATCGTTATTTAATTTAATTCGTAATTGCATTTAAGTCATGTCATTTAATTAATATTAAAAGTTATAACATTTAATAAAAAGATATTAATAAAAAATTTGTAGGATTATTAACTAAAATCTGTCTTTTAAAATTGTTACACGGAATACGTACGAATAATACGTTTTTCGATGATCACATTCGATGTTAAGTATTCAGTTTTCTACTGTCGCTTTAATCTCAGTTGACTTTGCTGCCCTTAATTACTTAATTATTTAACTGCTAACAAAATGCAATAATCTCTTTCTTTTTCTGGATAATACATTGTGATGTGAACATTGTATCAAGCATCATGAATGAAAACAGGTAGATGAATCTAAATTAATTTTTTGAATACCATAACATTTTAAATTATTTTTATCAATAAATATTGTGGTTTTCATTCCGTTTCATTCAGCGTGATATTATTCATGATTGTTCTATAGTTGGATTCTAATATTGACCATAGTTGGATTTATATCATCGCGCGCGCGCGTGTGTGTGTATGTGCGTAAGAGGATAAATATTATTTAATAACTTAGAATCGCAATACTGTATGAAATTTTTGCGGTTATCAGCTAACCCTTATATGAGACCATTACGTTAAACGTTTTACGCCTCATTACTCCTCGTGCAATGAGACAAATGTAAGTAACTCCGTCCTTGAGATTCCTACCTCTGGACCTGCCAAAGGACTTCATGGCCTTGATTCCCATTCCGGCGTAAGCGTCACCGCCGTAATCAACGTACATGAGTGCCGATCTTGCGTAATCACTGTACATGCACGTAGGCTAGAATTGTCAGTGTCATTCGTCCTCTTTTTTTTTCTCTTCTTCTTTTGCGCGTACTTTTCGCTACCGAATTCGTGCTCCCTTCGTCGTTTCTTCTCTCGCGATGTCTCTCGGGACGGAAAGGTCCGTCGACCGTGGTGAAATCATTTAAATCGCAGGTGCACCTCCGTCGAGGACGATCCGGAAGATTCGGTTCGTCACCGCGGAACCCCCAACTTGATTCCACGTGTGTAAACGTCAAACTTGATTCGCGCTCAGTCGAACGATCACATGCCGATCCGCTCGTCGATCCGGAAAGCTGTCCCGCTGTCTATCCCATAATGCACACGTCCCCCGATGTATGGCGAGGAGAGGGTCTTTACCAAGGGGCACGGACAGTTGCGGTCATTGGCGCAAATCACTTGGTACCAAATGCACTTTCCGTGTTGCAAGGACGACGCGCCGCTTTCCGGTGCCATCGACGTCGCGAGCTACCGTCTATCTCGACGCGCGCGCGCGCGCGCGCGCACTGTCCGTCGCGACGAAACGCACACACAAGCAGCCGCCGCTGGCAGCTGACAGTTCCGACTTGTCAATGGCGGGCCGAGCTCGGCGAAGCGGGCCACGTTGCCGAGAGGAGGCCGGGAGAAAATCTGGGAGACTCGGCGAGGCGCACTGCTGGTCAGGCGGAGGCGGACGCGGGCGCGGGAGCGGGCACGAAGCTCACGGTGTGTCCACCATGTGTTTGCTATCAATTCATAACTGCGACCCACACGGGTTATTTCCGAATACCTGCTTGCGCAACTGCTCGCCGGTTGCTCCGGGGCGAGCTCCGGGGAGCAGTGGCGCGCCGGGGGACGACGGGGGAGAAAGAGGAACGGAGGGCGGCGTGGTAAGATGGACCGGGGAGAGATTCGGTGGAGGGAGAGTCCGAAAATATATGAATCGTCGGAGTCCCGGCGGTCGGTCCGTCAAGAGGCGGAAATGCCTCCGCTTCGCTTCCCGCGTGCGTTTCCTTCCTTTCCGCTTCGTGCGAATTCGCGCCACTCGCCCCTCCGTGTGCCGGACACCCTCGTCGTGCGCTTCTCGGAAAAACGTTCGTCGTTTACCCCGCAGTTACTGTGAGTACGAGTCGACGACAATGACAACAACGACGATGATAGTGACGACGACGACGACGACGACGACGACGACGACGACGTCGCCGCGCGCATTTGACGACGCACTCTCGAAGGGGAACACGCACACGCGAGACGGCGCCGCACTGAACGGCGAGAGGCCGAGAGAGCGCACGCACGTCACGGACGCTCCTCGGGACCGTGTGTTGTGTACCGCGCGGCCGAGGATCGAGGTGATCCCGCCGCCCCGGCCACGAAACGATCTTTCCTTCGGCGCCACCGGAGTTCGTTAAGCCGAAGCGCCACCGTCGGACACGTACGACCGCGTTCCGCAGGTAAGTGCGTACACGCCGAGAGAGAAAGAAGAGCTGGAACGAGAGAGAGAGAGAGAGAGAGGGAGAGTGAAAGATGAGGGGCAGAAACTTCGAAGAAGAAGTAGTAGGAGAAGAAGAAGAAGAAGAAGAAGACGAAGAAAGACGCGAGAGGCAGAGAAGAGCAAAGGTGCAGGAGAAAAGTAAAGGAAGACCCGTAGGGGAAGAGGGGCGGGGAGCGAGAGAGGGGGAATCGAGCTTCTATCTCCCGGAGAGGGGAAGCGAATGCGTCTCCGATCGCGCGTCTTACGTATTCGCGGGGCCGGTCAGGGATTTCACGGGCGTCGACGGTCCGGCCAGTCCGGCGAAGAAACGAGGGAGAGCGACCCCCGAGCTGGGTCAAGATTCGTTTCACACGGCTCACTTCGGACGGACACGCGAGTTTTGCGGGTAACCCCGGGTAGGGTACTCCGGGAGGAAGGGGGGAGGGCGAGCCGCAAAGCGATGAGGTGAAACGTGCGGGTACAGCCGTCGGAGACAACTTATTTCGCACGCTACGGAGCCAGCGGTAGGGAGGCGAACGTGAGTAAGGCGATCGGCGAGAGAGAGGTCGTCGGTTCCTTCATCGTGACTCCGGTGTCACGGATGGCTAAGTCGCATGACATTCGCGCTACGTACGTGTATGTACGTGCGTCCGCGGATGCCGGAGGGGAGCGAGGCGTAAGAACGGAAGGAGATGAGGACGCGCGAAGGAGGCGAGCGGACGAGGGACACTGGTTTATTATAGGGGAAGCGTGCCGTAGATAGCAACTCGACGTCTGAGAAAGAAAGAGAAAGAGAGAGGGAGAGACGGGAGGACGACTAGGGAGGTTCGAAAGAAGAGGAGGAGGAAAGAGACCGAGAGATGGAGAAAGAGAGGGAGAGACCGAATTATGCGAAAAGAGACGTAGACGCGGCGATTCTTAATATACGTAGGCCAGAAGACACGTAAGAGTGGCGATATTTTCAGCTGAATGGAATCACGGGGGAAGGGAAAAAGAACGTTAAGCAGACGCGATATATAGAAGTACAATCCGAAAATACGACTAACCGAGCCGTTTCGCAAAGGTGAAAAGATAAAAATCGCGAAACGCCGTAACGCGAGGCGGCGAGTGGATCACTCGCGGGGAGGATACCCAGGTGGAAATTAACGGAGCGATGGGGAAAGGAGAAGGAAAAAAAGACGGAGGGACAAAAGAGAGAAAAAGAGAGAAAGAGAACGTTGAACGTACGCGCGAGTGAGCGAGCGCGAGCGGGACCGACGACGGAACTGGAAGAGACGTGCGAGAGGGAGACGAAAAACACTTGACTCCCCACCAACGCTACGATCGCACGACGCGACAGCGGAGTGGCGGCGCAGAGGCCTCTGGCCCTCACTCTTCTCTCGCTCCGAGTTTTATGAATGAATACTCTCCCGTCACACGCGGCGGACTAACACTGGCGTCGGCGCACACTACGAATGGGGCGCGCGCTGTCCCTCGCTCGCTCCGTCTCTCTCTCTTCCTCTGTCGCTCTTTCTTCCTCTCCCGATTTCTCTCCCTCCCCTACTCCTCTCTCTCTCTTCTTTTTCTCTCTTGGCCTCGAGCTGCGCGCGTAAATTGAGGCGTACGAGTGTGCTTAGGCGACGCGCACGTACACACGCGGAGTCCGCGCGACACGACGAGTAAATACCGAGTTGGCTAATACGCGGACGCGCGCAGGTCCACCGTTCCTTCCTTCATTCGGTTTGCCGTTTCGTTCATTCATGCCCGAGCCGCACGCTTTAACTGGTAGCTCACCTCGGCCGTTCCAAGAGGCTCCCCCCCCTCCTCCTTCTGTCCCTCGTTCACCACCTCCTCTCCTCACATCGCCTCCTCCTCCTCGTCCTCCTCCTCCTCCTCCTCTCCTCTCTTTCGCTCAGATCAGATCTCTTTTCCGCCGCTTGTCCGCTCGACGCCGGCCGCCCGCCGCCGCCGCCAACATCGTCGTCGTCGTCGTCGTCGTCGTCGTCGTCGTCGTCGTTGTCGTCGTCGTCGTCGTGACGTTGACGTCACGCTAAGATGAAGAAACGAGTCGGCACTTTCCGAGAATGACTACAGTTCCTCGCGTGACCTTCTTTCATCGACGGATAGCAGGGTGGACTATCTTTCCGAGCACGATGGCCTTCGCGCTAGCACGAAAGGCATATATGGGTTGCGATGTCGTTTCTGATACATCTTGCTTAGGCGAAACTCGAGAATGTTATAAATATTTTCTCCCTGGGTATCTGGGTAATGGTCACGTGATTATTCAACGATTAATTATCAGTAATTATCAGTAATGCAAGAATTTGTGCAATCGCCGATTTAATTATTGCTGTAATTTGACGAATAATCGAAAAATTCTGCCTTATAAATTCAATTTTATCTCGAAACTGTCGAAGATAAATTTACGCTGTATATTTCTGCTTATATAAATACTCGCGTGTAAAGTAATTTAATGCCAATGTTGAATATTAATAAAATGAGGTGTTTTTTTTTCCTATATATAATTTCATCAAAGTATAGTAGAAGAGAAAGAGAAATTTTTCGAAACTTATTCGCATAGATATATGTTGTAAGACATATGTCGTAAGATTTATACATAAATAATTTCATGAAAATAACTCGTTTAATCGCAGAATCCACGCGGATAATAAGCGTAATAAGGGCATTTGTCGATCTGCATGATCGCGTGATAACGAGCGCGCTTAATGGCAACTGAACAAAGGTAAACGACATGGCTCGAACAGTAAAGTTTTTTAGCCGCACGGTAGAAACGCGGATGTCGCGGGCACTTTTACAGCTTCTTCGTCGGACGATAAAAAGGCATAATTATACGTTGCTATCGCAAGCACGGTTTTAGTAAGTTTTCTCCGGTCGCACGGTGGATCGCGGCTCGCCGAGGATGTCGTGCGTGTGATTGATGAAAAACTCGTCGCTCGCGGGCACAAGGCTAAAAATTTCCTTCGCGGCTAGCGACTTCCGGCACGTCCGCAGGACCATTCATAAACTCGCCCCGGTACCGTCAAACGGCGCGACGGGACATTCACTCCTCTCCCGGCCCCCGGCTTCCAGCACCACGGCTACCATTCGCGATTCCGCCAGCTATATTTTACGCCGCTTCTCGTACACATAACTGTACGAACACAATATGAATGCGCCGTAACCCTTCTCGTCTTCTTCCCCCCGCGAGCATCTATCTCTCTTCCGCGGCCAGTTACGCTGCGTTCATTCCGATAGATTAATTGGGTAACGAATTGTCGAGAGAGAGAGAGAGAGAGAGAGAGAGAGAGAGAGAGAGAGAACTAGTA